TTAAATCAAGACCTAATTAATTTAAAATGTAATTAAATATGAAACACCAGTATGGAATGTAAATCAGCAGTAAACCTTCTTCAACACACGTCAATACTACAGATCTTAAATGAAAAAAAAATGAACCTTTGTCTCTAATGTAAACTAAGTAGTCAGTAAGTCATATGAGGTTTTCTTCCATATTTTCTTAAGAGAACCAAGTCTAAGGGCTGGAGAGAGAGTGCTGGCTGTGTAATCCTGAGTATGGGAATTGGGATGCCAGCATCTGTGACAAGCTGGGCATCTAGAAATGTCAGCTCCAAGGGATCTGACAACCTTTTACACAAATGTGCATATATATTCAATGAGAATGTACACACAAGCACACACACACACAAATAAACTTCAAAAACAAAACACAGAAAAGTACATATGCCTTGACAAATTAAGCTGAACAAAACTGTCCCTATCAGAAAAGAACAAATCTCAAGCTGGAAGGTAAACTGAGTTGTAATTACTTCTGGAACAAGTTTCATTTGTCAAGTCTGCCAAGTGTTTATGTCAAATGGTCCATATCTTCTCACTCTAGAATGGGTGTTGGTCACAGAATACAGTCGGGATGAACCGTAAGAGGACTGCTAACACATAAAACCATGTAGGTGCTTAAATATATGCTCTCAACAGAGCCATGCTAATTACCAAGCACTGTTTTTTAAAGGCAGGTCTTCATCTGTAACCCAGACTGGCCTCAAACTCATGATTCTCTTGTCTCTCTCTCCTGACTGTTGAGATCATATGTATGTAACCCCCGATTCAACTACACTTTGGTTTTTAGTTCTTAGACATATGCTTCTCATTTTCCTACAGAAGATGAAAAAGCAGAAGAGGGGGAAGAGGCAAAATGTAATAAACTATAGGGTTTGTGTTTAAGTCCTATTTAAATCCACAAGGGAGGGACAAAGTCCACCTCATTTCTTGTTATGCATCTAGCACCAAGCACAGCACTAAGTCAATGTTGGTATAGGCTGAAACACTGAATACAAACTGCAGGCTGCAGAGCTGAGTCATGTCAATATTCTACACAAGTAAAACCACACTTCTGAACAATGGGGAAAGCCAGAAAGGGACCATGTCATTAAATGAACAACCTTTTGTACTAGCAGGGTGTGACGGTACAAACATTTTGTATCAGGCAGAGCCAGCTAGATCTCCTCTGTGGGTTCTAGGCCAGCCAGAGTTATATGGTGAGACCTTTCAACAAAACAAAAAATATCTACTGAACTGCTTCCTTTTGTAATGGGCAGCAGCATAGAATGGTGTACAGATGACATTAGTGGGAATGAGAATAGAAGATGAGATGGGGGTCACTCTGCAGGAAGGGGAGAGTTCACATAAACACACGTTCAACTAGGAGTCAATCTCAGGTTGATACTTCAGTTTCTAAAATTAAGTAGACAGACATATAGGCCCAACCTAGAGTGGAGTTATTAAATAATATATGACAAATCCTGAGATCACTCTACTGCACGCAAGAGTATGGTGCAAAAAATTAGACAGGTATCTTTACATGACTACATATTTGAGGGGGGGAGGGGGAGGTCAACGAGACAAAGCCCAGAGGTTTACAACGTGGACCAAGATTGACTGTGAAGAATTTCTAAGAGCAAAAATAACTAGCACCTTAATCACAAAATTAAGATGAAGTCTGAGAAGTACACAGAAGAAAGCTTACAGGATGCCGTCAAGTAGGTGAGGAGACAGGCAGCAAACAGCAGGCTGAGCAACAGAGCAACAGCAGGGTCCTTCTGTCAGGTAAAGTCAAAAGCATGGCGACACAGAAAAGTAAGACTCCAAGACACAAGCACATATAAAAAGAAAAGGAACCTGGGGGTCATTTGAGAACATACAGAAAAGATAACGGTTCTGGTATTTTCTACAAATTAATCTTCATGTCAAGAGTTTTGCCTTGTCTACTTTAACCTAAAAGGCAGTGCTTCGAGCTCCAAGACAGGGAGAAAAGGGGCCATCTCCAACAGAAAACCTTTCCACCTTCTACTCAGCAACTTCCCTTCTTTTTCCCTGTATACACAGAAGTCATGAATATATACAACTTTGTGCAAGTACAAACATATATGCACACACTCACAGCTTCAACTTCTGTACCATGTTTTCACTAAGAAACAATATAGAACAAAGATCCCTGAACTGGAAAGCATAGCATAAGGAATAATTTGTCATTTTTCTCATTCCTAATTAAAATTTCCCTAGAAGATACCTAATTATGGCATTTACTATAAAAAAAAAATTCAGTGAGTAGACAATCATAGGATCGGTAAGTTTCTGAGCTATTGAGTTTAGCCGGTACCTGGAGCATGCTAGATAGAACCATTAGATTGTGGATATCATGCATGAGTTCTAAGGACTCTAAGTCAATTTCCACTCTATGGCCCTTGGTTCTCAATTTTCAAGTAGGTGGATTAAAGGCATCATTTAACTCTCAAAGAAATAGACTGAAATCTAAATACAAGATTAAACATAGAAGAGCCTTCTTAGAACCAAGGATCACCAATTCTCAGTCTAATGATCCCATATATAAAAGGGTTATTAATTCTCTTACAGATCACAAAGACAAGGTTTTGTTTGTTTGTTTGTTTTGACAAAAGGATGCTGTCTTTTTTTTCCATTTCTAGTACTTTTGTTTTTTTATTTACATTTCTGATGTCTTTCCCCTTCCCCATACCCCCCCCCCATTAATCCACGATCCCATCCCTCCTCCTCCTTTTTTGCCTTTATACTGTTTAAATTACATGCAAGTATTAAGGTCAGTTCTAGGTTGAGGAACTAGCAATACAATAGATGCAAATAGTCAAGGAACAAGCAAGACAATAAACCCAGATAGTCAAAGAACATGCAAAAAACAAAGTCCTGTGACCACTATTTCTAAGGGCTTATCAGGATGACCAAAATATCTGAGCCTACTTCCCTGTCCTAGCCCAAAGTCATTTTCATGCTTGAAGCCTACTTCTTTGTTCTAGCTTAAGATTTAGATTTCTGCCTATAATTACTTCTTTGTTCTAGCCTAAGATTTAGATTCCTGCAAAGACAAGGTTTTAAAAGCTCCTTTATTCTTTTTCTTTCCCCCAATTACATTCCTAAATATGGGTGGAGGTAAGCTATGATTGAAAAAAACAAAAACAAAAATAAGAAAAAAATGCAGTAGTCATTAACTACACAGTGCTTTGGGTTACTTATGCCTTCAATAGGTTGTGAAATACATCTTTATCCCACCAGAGTGTGGGGCAAGTGGAACCATGTCACCAGACAGAAAAACTGGTAAGGTTGAGCTGATTAAGGAACCCCAGTAATTCTCATAATTGAGAATGGTAGGCATTTCAGTCTGTTCCAGACCTGATTCCTGTCCTGGAGCATGTGACCACAACACCCCAGTAAGAGGACCATGACAACTGGTCACACAGCACAGAGCCTAGTTCTCTATGCTAATGAGGTATATAGATGGGTCCCCAGAGTTTAGCCAATAAGCTTACCTTCCTGGGCATCCCCTCCAGCAAAAGGTATTTAATCTCTAGTCCACCCTGAGTAAGTGGTATGCATTCTTTTCCACCATGAATAAACAGTCTGAACAAGCAAGGACTGTCTCCTCTATCAAGGGAAGCTTTCATCATATAGGGCCACGCCTACGTCTCCTGCAGAAGGCCCCTCTTACCCCTGGGACTCACACAGAGCTAAGCTGGATCACCCTAATACCCCTCACCCCAGGCTCATCTTAGGCCCGAGGGGCCATTCTCAACTCTTTGCCATTCCCACTGGCATCTAGGTGCTCAGGAGTTTGTGAATCACCAGCCTCAGTCCTAGCCTGTGACATTTCTTACCTGGAGAAACACAGGCTGGGGCCCCTATTTTAGGCTATGTTTCACCTCCCTGTGCAGCATGTCTGCGTGTCCCGTGAGCCTGAGGAAACAGCCTAGCGCCTCTGTGTTTCGCCTCCCTGAAAGGCTTCGTGACATCCCAGTGGCCAAGGCGAAATGCAGACCCAAACCAAAGATCCTAGGACATCCCACAATGTTAATTAGTCAAATTTTTTCTGTGGCCTACAACTGGTGCTCTCTCTGACAGATGGATGTTTATACATCACCCTTTCAGTCCGCTTTTCAGTCATTAACAAAGACTTCAAGGGAGACACTGAAGTATCCAAAACAAATCAACACACTTATAATTATTCTCAGAAACTGCTCTCTTCAAGTCTACAGTAGGTAACTACATAAAAGGTAGAGAAGCGACAGGTAGCACTATGAGAAACAAATGCTCATCATCTGATGAATCTCTAAAGAGTCAAACCAGCTTATTTTGATGTATCTTAGGTATGTATCATCCACAGCATTTCCCATCTTTAATTTACATACAAATTTAAAAGTACAGTTTATTTGGGGCCTCTTTTAACTCCAGATTCAACAAAGCATTATTCATATCTTGTTGAAAAAATTATGATATTTAAATAGTTGTTGGAACTTACTGTAAGCTATATAAGACAAATTCTTAATCAAATAATACAAAACTGCCATGTACTGTAAGTTAAATTTCTACACTTAAACTTAATTCATTTAGGCAAACAACAATATCAGTAATTAGTTGAAATCACTCTCCAGAATTCACACTGTCTACTACCTAACAGCTCGGATCAATGTCTTCAGTTAATATATTAAGTTTCACGACAAGTCATTGTTTGTTTCAGTCCTTAAAAGCATTACTAAAATAGCTAAAACACATCACTTACCACACGGACCACTTCTAAGTTACTGTTACACTTTACGGAAAACCTGAAGACAGAAGGCTAGGTTATTATGAAAATCATTTCAGGCAATAAGGGAAATACTTCTTTACCTGATTGTTTTCAGCTTAGAAATCTGACACATGCACTTAAAAATTACTCTGCATTTCATAAAAATGACTTGTTCAGGAAGAGCAACAACTACGAATAACGAACACACAGTGACATCACTCACCTAAATAGGGAATGCAAGGAGTCATCTTTAAGCTACTTATATAGTCTCTGAGTCTTTTGTAGTTATCTTCTTTACTCATTACATATTCTAATTTCTCAAAGGTAGTTTTGTCTTTTCGACTTAATAACTAAAAAGCAAACAGAAAAGCCTAGGTTATTACAAGTTCCATCTTAACTGTAACAAAGATCTGAATGAAAACTGTATTTACTACAAATCCAAACTTTAATTTCGAAATTATACTTTCCTTAATTTTATTGTGATAGGACGGACATAAATAAAACAGATTCAGACATGTATTTATAACTCAAAATATTTATAAATTCACCTCTACATGCACATAAATGAACCTACTAAGTGGTGAACTACAACACATTATTTATCTTTACTACTTTATGTAATTAAGCAATTTTGTTGTTTTTATCTACTTTAAAATAATTATGCGTATACATTTAGCTCAGATGCCAAAATATTTTCATTGACTGCCTCCTCAAAAGTCATTCGTTCATAAGCACTAAGAAGCCTTCAATTCTGTGATATAAGTGGCAACTTTTCTTGACAAGTCAAGTTGTGGCTGGTCTTAATAGGACCTTCAATCCTTCCTTCTGGCAACAAACTTTCTTCTTGACCAGAATGTTATCATAGGTAGGTAGCATTATCACGAGATTGTTTCAATTGGCTTGAAGAGACAATTTGTATTACGTGTCCTTTGAGATTACTGCAAATGATCAAAGGAGATAAGAGACGAGCAACCTTAGTACCCACAGTCTAACTGAAAGCTTCTGGATGTGTTCCATTCTGTTATCATTCCAAAGACTGTGGGCAAGATTTTTCTTTCTTTAAACCTCTGAAGATACTATTTTTCACAACATAGTAAGACTTGACTTTTTATTACATCTTAAAATATTGGCTCCTTGTATACTGTGCAAACACTTCTCTTAGAGAATTCTCATCTAATTCTCCTGTAAGGTTAACAGAAAAGTTTGTGTACATATTTAGAGGTGGCGGAAGCTGAGTCAGGCACATGGCTAGCAAGTAGAAGAATGTATTAATGGTCTGTGTGTCTCTTGGGGTCTCAAAGACTGGTTCTGATAATGGACCATTCTGGCACCTAATCCATTAGTATTTTCTGGCCTGTATGCAAGTCTGTGGCTCATTTTCTTTACTGATGATTGATGTGGACGAAGTGGAAGGCGGCAGGAAGCCCTCAGTTGTCGAGAAACTAAGCCCAGCAAGCTGGTAAGCAGCATTTCTCCATGGCCTCTGCTTTGGTGCCTGTCTCCAGATTTCCACATTGGGTTCCCTCAGTGATGGAGGTGACCTGAAAACTGTACGATGACGTAAACCCTTTCTGCCCCATGATTCCTGTCATGGTGTTTCATCACAACAGTAGACACCCTAACACCAATTTATAATACTTTCCTGCCCTATGTTGGAGATCTAAAGCAAGGATCTATTTCTATTCAGATTTTCTTCTAGTATATAATATAAAATTATTACCTATAGTTACTAGGCTTGTACACCTTAGATTTCAAATATATTCTATAAAACTAAGCTTTGAATCTACCCACTGAACAAACATCTTCCAGTTAACTCCACCCTGAAAACTGTTCACTCTGTTGCTCCAAGTTCAACTTTGGTTCTACTTCTACTTTCTAATTTATGGCTGCAACCATATCGGTATGCAGAATTCCTTTTCTGGTTGACTCCCTCACCAACATTTGAGAGTTCTTATCTTTTTAGTAGCAGGTGGGGTGATTTCTCACTGTGGTTTGTATCTGTACTACCCTGATCCTTAGTGGGGTTGAACATCTCCCATATACCTATTGGTTGAGTGTATTCTTCTCAAAAGCATCTGTACAGATTATTTTGATCATTTTTAAATGATTTATTTTCTTGTTACTACACTGGTTGAATTCCTTAGGTATTTGAGCATTAACCTTTTCCCAAACATAGAATTTGCAAATATCTTCTCATCTCACGGAGTACTTCTTTTCTCTGCTGATTGTCTTCTTTGCTGTGCAGGCAGGGCCTTCAGACAGAATCACTCCATCTGTCCACTTTCATTTTTGTTACCTACACTTTGGGAGTCATATTCAAAACCAAACTGTTTAGAACTATGTTTTCTTCTAGTAGTTTTAGTTTTAGATCTTACAATTAATTCTTTAATCCTTTTGGCATTCATTTTTGTCTTGTGGCTATAAAACAGTGTTCAATTTCATTCTTTTAAATGTAATATGCACAGGCTGGAAAGATGGCTAATCAATTAAGAACACTGGCTGCTCTCTCAGTCTTGAGTTTAATTCCCAGCAACCACATGGCAGCTCATGTCTGCAACTTCAGTTCAGGGAATCTGAACCCTCAAACACTAATACACATAAAATAAAGTAAAATAAAATAAAATAAAATAAAATAAAAAATTTTAAATGTAATATCTCAATCATTATTGAAGATACTATTCTTTCATAACATGTGGTGATGTACATTGTCGAAATGGCTGCAAATGTATTTATTTACTTCTGAGCTCTTTATTTGTTCTATCCGTGTGTGTGTGTGTGTGTGTGTAAATGTATTATCAAGGCCTGAGGTGATGTCAGATGTCATCTTTAATTGCAACTGACATTATATACTGAGACAGGGTCTCTCACTTGAATGCACAGCTTGTCCTGGCTAGCTTTTTTGCTCCAGGAGTCCCTGATTTCAGCCTCTCATGTGCTGAAAATACAGATGGTAATCACGCCTACTCAACACACACATGGGTATGGGGATCCAAAACCTGGTCCTCGTGCTTGCCCAGGAAGGGCTTTACCTTCTTAACCATATTTGCAGTCCAATGGTATTTTTGAGTGATACACTGAAATTGTCCCAAATGCAGATTTTTGTAAATTCATATATTCAGCTGGCTTAATAAACCTATTTTAAACCATATTAAGATATATTTAAGCCGGGCGGTGGTGGTGCACGCCTTTAATCCCAGCACTCGGGAGGCAGAGGCAGGCGGATTTCTGAGTTCGAGGCCAGCCTGGTCTACAGAGTGAGTTCCAGGACAGCCCGGGCTATACAGAGAAACCCTGTCTCGAAAAACCAAAAAAAAAAAAAAAAAAAAAAAAAAGATATATTTAAGATCTGGGTATGGTGGCACATGCCTATGATCCTAGCACTTGGAGGCAGGGGCAGGAGGATATCTGTGTATTGAGGGCCAACGTGGTCTACATTCTACATAATGATCTCCAGGACAGCCAGGACTACACAGAAGAGGTGTAGTCTACAAAAGCTCCCCTGCCACCTGTTGTAAACACTTAACACAGACTTTGGGAGATGTTTAGGATCGGCACTGAAACATTTTGCCCAGAGGTTGGTGTCCACTCTATAATAATGAAGAAAGAAGTCTCAACAGAGAGGATAAATATCTCTGAAACTCAAGGTAAATTCTTTTTTTTCTTTTAATTTTTTTTACTTATTTTTATTTTATGTGCATTAGAGTTTTCTCTGCATGTGTGCCTGTGTCAGAATGCTGGATTCTCTGGAAGTGGAGTCACAGGTCTACACAGGTATGAACTGGCATATGGGTACTAAGAATTGAGCCTGGGTCCTCTGGAAGAACAGCCACCGAGCCAGCTCTCGGGCCCTCAAGGTGAATTCTTAACTGTGAGAGGCTTTAAAAATGATGGTGACAATGACGATGGTAAAGCAACAGATTTTCAAAACACTCTAGCACAGAGTAAAGGTTTCAGTTCGAAAGCAAAGAACAAGGAAACAGTAAGGAAGGAATGGACCAAGGAAGACAAATCCAGCTGGGCAAACGTTAATCCAGCTGGGCAAACGTTCAATCCTACAGCTATCATCCAGTATCCAGAGGAAATGATGCTGTGGTATGGTGTCCGTTTCAGACAGCTTGAGCAGGCTCACCTATGTGGCCTTGCTCATGGTCCACATGCTACTCCATTGAGCTGCCTCAGCGTAACAACGGCAAGTTCTCTCAGCTGAGCTTTACATCCTAACCTCTCTCATTTTCTGGGGTCCCCACTGCACCTTTAGCTTCATTCTCACAACTCCATGCACTTCAATTTTAGGGTGCACATGCAGAGATTCTAATCTTATTTGGATATATTGTCAAGACACCAAGTGTTTGCATAAAATACTGGTGGAAGCTTGCATGACCCCGCCAGCCTTGCATTCTGCACATAGACACATCAATGTTTCCTACCACTATGAGCTGTACTAGAACTCCATGATCCATGGCTGCAGCAGCCTCTGAGTGCCTACATGACTGAACATGAAAAGCTATCCTAGGGAAGTGATTTAAGAAACCATCAAAAGTAAGTTCCCTAGAGCTCTCTTTTTTAAACAAAAGTCCGAGCTTATCACGAGTGGGGTCCTGGTTTTTAAGACATTCTCAAAGGCCCTCGTACAACAGGTGCACAGCACTAGGTTTGTTTTTAATACTGCTCATCTTTTTTTTTTTTAAGCAATATTATATCCTCTTTGATTTCAACTTTTTCTCTGCTCTCTTTCTGGGATGAACAACGTTGCACTCTGTGTATCACCCTCCCCCATTCATCTACTTACAGATGACTGGGCTGTTTCTACTTTTTGGTTGCTGTAAACATTTATGAAAAAGATATGTTTATATCTTTGCTTTAAATTCTTTTGAGCGTATGTCTAGAAGTATAACTACTGGATTGCATGGAAACTTTGTTTAATTTTTAGGGGAGTTTTCATTGTTTTTAATACTTTCTTATTTTTAAAATAATGTAAAGCTTCCTATACAGACACACAATTTAACCTAAATTATCCTCCTCCATTCCTTATAGAAAAAAATGATCTTTTTCTTATTTTCTTATGGCAGCTAAGCGCCTCATGTTAAACAAGAACAGTGGAAATGGGCATCCTTTTATTTAATATTAACTTACTTCTGAGACAATGCTCTGAATATTTTACTTAGTAATAGGATATTACTAGCTTTTTGACATGTCCCTTTTATCAATAAAAAATTTCAAACAGACAAAATCCCTCAAGATTTTATTCATTAAAATGTGTAATCCAAATGGGCATGAAACATCCACCATCTTACATTATGCCTCTAACTTCAGACGCAATAGCCTGTTCTACCCAAACCTTCAGTCTATACCTACTGCAGCTCAGAGACCTTCACAAAACCCCTGGCCTTAGCCTCCCCATCTGCCTCAGCAAGCATCCTTTCCTTTCTTAGAACCCTTATACTTTGAGCCTGAGAGGGGTCTGGATACAACTCTGGCTTCACATCCCTCCAAGCCTATCACCCTTTTTTCTTCCCAAGTCCTCAGCACTGTTCCAGCACTGTTCACTGTCCAGTAGACTTTGTATGATGATGGGGCGGGGGGGGGGGGTGTAGTGTGTGTGTTGTGTGTGTGTGTGTGTTGTGTGTGTGGGGGGGAGATGTTCATACAATGGCTGCTAGCCAGCATTCCTGAGCACTTGGAATGTTAGTATTGCTGAGGAAGAGGAGTTAGTTTTAATGATTTAAAATTAAGAGCCACCCATGGCTACTATGTTAGACAAGAGAACACAGAGACGTAATCCTTTATGTTACTGTTATTTAGGACCTGCAAGTAACTTCCCCGTAGGTCTTTAGAAATTTAGAAACTAGGGAAAAAGGGGGGCCAGGAACCATCTTCCCTTATCACTAAGACTTACTGGTTACATTCTTCATGTGTGATAACCCTCTTCTCTTACCATTATCCCATCTTCTGTCATTTTCATACGCCACCCTGTCATCTAAGACACAGCATGAGCTTTTTTGGGACTTCTGTGGTCCCTGTCACGCTTCACTTCCCTCCCACTGTTTATCATTTCCAGCCTTTTTTGTTTGGCTGAGTTTCCTGATCTTTCAATAAGGCAACTTGAATACTCTCTTTCACCTCTTGTGCTACCCTAGATCTCCCTGGTTACAAACACAACTTAAAAACCTCAAGTTTAGTTAAATACAGTTCTCACTAGTATATCACACTTATACTGAGCCTGAACCTAGAAAGGACATAAGAGTTTTAACTTTAAATTCATGACCAAAAATCTTCTGTATAAAGCCCAGCAATCTTTCATGTCTCCCGACACACAGTGCTTTCATGCCCAGGTAGACGACATGTCCTTCCTTCTTTCTTCAAACTTCTAAAAGTTTTCTTTCAACATTCTCAACTTAAGACTTTGGTCCTAAAGAATCGAAGCAGCCAGAGGACCCTGTGTAGACTTCCACCACCCAATCTACCAATTCACCTGCACCAGTGCAGATATACCCCTTCCTGCCTGTTAGCATGGAAACATATTCCTGAAATACTACAGTGCTGGACTACTTCCCTTTCATCTTACTAAGGTTATACCTGGAGCTAATCATTCTTTATTGTCACCATCGCCCCAATTCCACTTCATCATTTCAACCAGCACAAAACCTGAAGGTCATGGATCCTATACCCAAAATCAAAACCACCGTGCCACAAACCTTTAGCTTTCTCTCCAGCCTCTGCCATGTCTACAACAGACTCTCTTCAAAGGCACGGTCTATGCTTACTGACCTAGTCCTTTGCTACATACTCAAATCCAATCAGTCTGTCACCCGATACTACACCAATACCACTCCTGCCAACCGTCAGGTCTAATGTCATGTCAAACATTCTCCCTGTACTCGGTGTATTAAAACGTTTTTCTAAGCACTTGCTTCTCGGTCCATGATTTCCTCCTCCAACTCTTAGGTGTCCAGCTATGCAGTAACCTCTTCCCACGTTACTAAAGACAATGCTGCCTATTTCCCTTTTCATCCTATTTTATTCTGATAATTTGTCACTGTACAGTTTATTTATTTCAGTTTATCTCTCTCCAGCAGACCATTAGCTGTATAAGAATGAATGGGATCTATATGATTCACTGGAATGTAATTCTTTTAAAGTTTATTAAGTTCATTATAGATTAGCAGAGCTGCTAACAAATAAAAAAGTTGTTTTTACAGAACTACATGAGGGCTAACAAAAATATTTTCAAGGAAAATAATAACTCGAAGGGAATATATCCCACTTGTAAATCACAACATAAATCAAAGTATAATCCTTGGCCTTTTAAAGAGAGAGCTCTTAGCTGTGCACTTGGAGTCATTTCCACCCCATTCATGGCATTCAGATTTTAAAGTATGAGACCATCATAATTAAAAAGAATTTTTAAAGTAGAAAAATACTTTCTTCAGGTGTTTATAATAGAAAAATAAAAATCATAAGCTCTTCCACACTAATACTTTTTCAAATATAAAAACACTTTTTATGTAAAACCTATCTTTAGACACCGAGCAAAGAACTTGGCATTGAATGCACAAGGCCCTGAGTTGACTAATTCCAGTCCTGGGAGGTGGGGAGGTGGGATGTGGGGAGGTGTAAAGGTGTGGAGGTGTGGAGGTGGGGAGGTGGGATGTGGGGAGGTGGGGAGGTGGGGAGGTGTGAAGGTGGGGAGGTGGGATGTGGGGAGGTGTGAAGGTGGGAAAGTGGGAGGTGGGGAGGTGTAAAGGTGGGGAGGTGGGAAAGTGGGAGGTGGGGAGGTGTGGAGGTGTGGAGGTGGGGAGGTGGGGAGGTGTGGAGGTGGGGAGGTGGGGAGGTG